AAAGGAAAGGAAAGGAAAGGAAAGGAAAGGAAAGGAAAGGAAAGGAAAGGAAAGGAAAGGAAAGGAAAGGAAAGGAAAGGAAAGGAAAGGAAAGGAAAGGAAAGGAAAGGAAAGGAAAGGAAAGGAAAGGAAAGGAAAGGAAAGGAAAGGAAAGGAAAGGAAAGGAAAGGAAAGGAAAGGAAAGGAAAGGAAAGGAAAGGAAAGGAAAGGAAAGGAAAGGAAAGGAAAGGAAAGGAAAGGAAAGGAAAGGAAAGGAAAGGAAAGGAAAGGAAAGGAAAGGAAAGGAAAGGAAAGGAAAGGAAAGGAAAGGAAAGGAAAGGAAAGGAAAGGAAAGGAAAGGAAAGGAAAGGAAAGGAAAGGAAAGGAAAGGAAAGGAAAGGAAAGGAAAGGAAAGGAAAGGAAAGGAAAGGAAAGGAAAGGAAAGGAAAGGAAAGGAAAGGAAAGGAAAGGAAAGGAAAGGAAAGGAAAGGAAAGGAAAGGAAAGGAAAGGAAAGGAAAGGAAAGGAAAGGAAAGGAAAGGAAAGGAAAGGAAAGGAAAGGAAAGGAAAGGAAAGGAAAGGAAAGGAAAGGAAAGGAAAGGAAAGGAAAGGAAAGGAAAGGAAAGGAAAGGAAAGGAAAGGAAAGGAAAGGAAAGGAAAAGAAGAGTGCTTTAAAATCTCAAGAGAAAACACTCAAACTATACTTCCCTAGAGGCTTCTTGTAAAGGAGCTAAGAAACTGTCCAGTTTTAACTTTGTCCAAATATTGTAACTGCCCTCAATCATCTGCTTTGTGACCTGATTTGCCCCAGCGCCTACCTTCACCCTTTCAGCACTATTTGCCATGCTGCCAAGCTAGGCATGCAGTTAGACTGAATACAGTGTGTAGGAGCCCTTAGGACTGGGCTTCCACACATCCTGAGAACAGGAACCTCCATTAGAAATGGTGGCTTCATTTCACTCATCAGTATCATCTTTTGCTTCCCATGGCTCAGGGTCGCACTTCACTGCTGGTGTTCAAGACTTGTCCTGCAAGGCCGTGGTTTGTTTCCCTTTTGAAACAGTCCTTTGGGACAGGCCATAGCACAAGGACAGATCCAAAAGTTAAGTCAGAAAAGACTTAAGGGGAGGGAGTTTTAGGCCTGCTTCTCCATTCTCCCAACCCTCACTCTTGGTTCTTGTGAAAATCTACGACTCCTGAAATAGCAGAACCAAGAAAATCAATCTCCAGTGCATTTACCACCTACCACCTTCTACACCGTAACCCCTAAGGCAGCACTCAGAACAAGGCTTCCTATGTGGTCTGGAACAAGCACAGAGGAAACCCCAGTGAGCAGTTTTGAAACCAGACCCATTCAAACGGGGCTTTGAGTTTAGAAATCTTCTGCCAAAACTCCAAGGTGGTTATCTGAATTAATTCAAATTTCCAAAGTATACACATTCTCAGAGTGGGTGGGAATCATCAAAATTCACTAGCGAAACACTGTAGTGATTAAAGTCAAGGAATAATTAAAATTGCATGACTGTAACGGATTTCTTTTTGGTTTTGCAGGAGGCTCTATCCTACAGTTTCTGAGCCAGCACCATGACCATGACACATGGTTATTCACAGTGGACCCACGACCAAAGACATTCAAATTTTAAAAGGGGGTGCCCAGTCCCCACCAAAACTTATACTACATCTGTTAGTGGTTTCTTCCTCTTCACCTTTCTAAGGCTAACTACTACCACAGAACACTTTTGAATTTACGCATATACACACACACAACATCCCTAATACACAGGACCAGAGTTCAAACCCAGTGTGGATTTCCACTGCTGCGGCTAAGCTTCTAACAACTCCCTCAGAGCTTCTATGGGCATCAATCAAACCAGTAAATGGTGTCTTAAATATAAAAGTCTTTGGTGATAGGTGCCAAGTAAATATAAGCGCCTGTGACTGTTTTCCTAATGTCCCCAGCTAGATAAATCTTACCTACTGTTAACAATTCCCTGATGTTCTCTCTGTCCCCGAGAAGCACTTTTTTGGCTTGAGAAAGGGCAATGGTTCTGAATCCTATGCTACCTAAGGCTTTCTAAAGCTTGTAATCTGTATTCAGGTACCACATTAGTGACTGAATTGGTACAAGAAAGTGAGTAAAATGTATTCAAGTCCTTGAGTAAAATGTATTCAAGTCCTTGGGAAGCTTTGGTTCAAAGCCCAGTCCCTCACAGTGAGAATAATTTTACTTTCAGGAGAAGAGGCATATAAAGGCCAAGTTCTGAACTGCTTCTCTATGTTTGACTCTATCACAAGTCAATAAATATTTATCAAGGAGCCCACCTTTTCCATAAGTTGGTAAGTATCTATGTATCTATAATGTAGATGCTGGGAGCCACTTGCATGGCCAAAGAAAGCCAGATAGGGTGAAAGCCCTGAATGCACTCCCTGCAATAGCCCCTTCAACTCTCTTCAGCTGGGAAGGACGAAGGTAGTTTACAAAGGAAAACAGCATAGTTCCCAGAGCTGACAAAATACAGTCGAAATGTCACCGCAAATCTTCATGTGCTGTAAAAGGTTTCCCTAACACATTCACAGAGCAGTAATAAGCTAATATTGGTCAGCCGACTTCAAGGTCCAGGGGGATGATATAGTTCATTCACCAGTCTCCAAGCTTGTCAGTTTAGGAGCAAAAGGGAATCATGGAAAACTTACTGACCTTGGGCAGGCTGTGGGGCCAGCTAAAGGTGAGATTCAGACACAGTACCTCACAACGCACCTCTCTTAAATTTGAGGTTGGTACCTTTAAAAAGTAAAGTTCAGCACCTATGTGCAACATACAAACATTCACCCCAACGTGGTGAACTAGTGTTAGGCTTAAAACGTGGTTCAAAGTCATAGGAATCTGACTGTCAGTGCCGCCCCGCCCAGCCCCATGAGGCAAACAGAGTCTAAACAGTGTATTTTTTTTTTAAATGCCCTGTACCAACTTCCCAAACAAGTATCCTCTGGAGGCTGGGGGTATATCACTATTCTTGAATGCCTGATAAACTATATTTCAGTATGACAATGCAAGAAATATTAAGGGAAATCTTACTTCTTGTTTCACCTTTCAGTTTTCAACCTTTACTTGTGAAGGGAGGTGTTCCTAATTCTATGGTTTCTGGAGAAGTCAAAAGAGAGGCAGTGTAACCTACAGGGTAGGGCAAAAGTAGGTTTACAGTTGTGGGTACGTGAAAGTTTACTCTTGTATATTGTTATTGAATTATTTTCCATACAAACAACTGTAAACCTACTTTTGCCCCACCCTGTATTCATTGTCACATGTGGAAATTCTCTCTTATAGAAAACACATCTCATTTTTCTAAAACAAACATAATTCCATTTTTTTTGTTTCACTGATCTTCAAGTAAACTTCTTTGCCTTGGTGCCTTGACTGATGAGCTCTCAGGAAACTTTATTAAGCAAGCTACATCTCTCCTCCAAAGTCTATCTGCTTAATGCCAGTTGTTCCCAAGCACCTTATATATGCTTCTCTTCTGTGGGCACAGAATTAATCAAGTTCTTAAAAACTGGGTCTCTGAGTAAGGCCGAGCATATTAATTTTTACTCCAGGTATATCTGGTAGTAGCCGAAACAAAATGTTGATGTTTTAATATATGGTTTGGTTGGAGGGCTGGAATTAAGGTGTGGTTGGAGGGCTTGAATTAAGGTGGTTCATAAATTATCCAATGAAGAGAGGATCCAAATTATAGAATGTTTGCCAATGTCCATAAACACAGGTGGGAGGTAAGGGAACATCACAATCAGTTCACATTTGTAATAATATTACCTTATATACGTATAGCTGTTTAGGATTTACCCAGTTTGTAGTTCTAAAACATTTTCAAATCTTGAAGAGGAATAATTGTATTATAAATTTGCAGGTGACTAGGATAATTAAAAAAAATACACTTAGCAAAGTAAACCATTTAAAGGAAGCAATCTGTGTATGTGTCTTTCCTCTTTTCTCATGGCTAGAATAATACAGCTAATGCTATTATTCTATAATAGCTGGCAGTGCAATCATAAGTAAAAATCACCTGTAGTTTCATGTCAACTTGAGCTGGGTCAAAAGAAACACCTAAAAGAAAACTGAGTTATTGAGTGGGAATCCTCAGACTGTAAATTACATTCAATTTAAAGATTTAACTGAACAAAATTGTAAACCTGACTAGGCAAACAGGTTTCCAGAACCCTTAACAACCTTTCAATCTTTAGCCACTGAGGAAACAGTTACAAAAACTCCATGCTGTGCATAACTCCCCAAAACCTGTTTTCTCTGTTGTGCTTTTACACTATCTGCCTAGAGACATGGAGAAACAAGGGGAAATGGACTTGACGGTGGGTCCAAGGAATACCTACTGATTTTCACCCAAAGTAAGGACTTTAGAGATTAAACAGACAAATAACTGTGAAGAAAAGTAAACATACAATAAAAGCCACTGAAGTCCCTCTGAAAACTAATGGGGAGAGAGGAATTAAACTGAAATACCAACATTAGAGATACTTCTTAAAACAGGTAGCCCAAGCTGGGTCAAGATGGAAAACAATGACAGTGGAGTTCTTAGATCAGGTCAGTTAGGGAACTGGCGTAAGTGCTCACACAATGTTTTTGAGAAAGCACACAATGTTTTTCCCCTCCAACTTCTGCCATAGTTTTAGTGTTCATGTAGCTTTAAGTGGCACCATACAAAAAAATCTCACACATGGCTGCAAGCTCAATTATCAACAGAGGTAGTAAACAAAGGAACTCCTAAGAACAGATTTTCAACTGGATCAAAGTGTGACTGCACATTCAAAACCCTAGAGCCACATAAACATCCCCAAAAGAAACTGTTTTAATTTAAAAAAGCTCAAAAACACAATGACAAGGATGCACTGGTTTGCCTTAGGCGCAGTTCCAAATCAGTGCTGACTTAAAGCTAGGTCCTCTCTTTCCAAGAAAGAGAAAGCAGAGAACAAAGTTCAATCTACAATGGGAGGGGACAGAACAAAAAGAAAACAAACAAAAGGGTGCTTTCCAGCAGCCTAAATTAGTCTTCGTTTAAGCCACACCACTGGAAATGCTTATTCTTCTTATATGAGTCTTTTCTTCACAACCTTTATTTTCTAAAATCTGCAATCTGCTGAAGGAGAGATGCTCAGATTTCCACTGGCAGGAGAGCCACTTCAGTGCAGTTTTTGCTTCCTCACTGTGGGTCCTCCTTCCCTGAAAGTGCAAAGAGAGCAAGCCAAGACCCGCAGGGCCCAAAGCCCCAGACTATTTCAGCTCTACTCATAGAGCAGGCGAAGGAGTTGCTGCATTTGTGCTTCAAAGATACAGCTCACTTTGGTTGTCCTTCTCAGTTGGCAAATTGCTCATAAAAAGCAAACTTGATCCTCTCTATGTGATGGCAAAGTTTGATGGCAGGGCCTAATTTTAAGTCCATGCACTCTTGAACGGTGGGAAGGGTAAGGAGCAGCAGGGCCTGCCCATCAATTTCCTGTTAAAGCACAAAATATAAATTATCTCTGATGTGCACATGAACTGCAACTCGATCATGACAGCCCCCATTCACTTTGGCTTAGTCAAAATCAGAGTCCCTGTGCTTTCCTTTCATTACTTTTCCCCTTTGAATGAGTACCACACATTTCCTTTTAGATGCCTCTCATAGTCCTCCATACCAATGAATCTTCAGAATTAACAACAAAGTTTTACCAAAGATAAGAATCTGCTCTACAGTTTCTGCTCTGCAGAAATTCAGTAAACTAGCCTAGTAACTGGCAATTAAATGTGCCAAAAGAAACATTTTAAAGGACTCTTTCTAAATCTGAAAGAAGATATTAACTATAAACTTCAATGTTTCCCTATTCTGTAACATTTATAAAAGCCTGATAAGTACTTCAAAGATGTTCAGTCTTGAATATCCCCAGTTATCAAAACGAATTTATTTCAATATTTATTTAAGGCCACAGATAATTGTTTCAGAAAACTTGCCTTAAAATTGATCACAATTCAGAGCCTAATATATTACACATGTTATTGTTATTTTGGAAAACGGGGACAATAAGCATGGCAGACTTAATTTTAAGCCATTTAATTGAGGAATGGAAACAAATTCTTAGGAAAACTGGGAACACAAAGATAATCTGCCTCAACTACGGGGGAAGTCAGATGAACAACTTTTTGACATATTTGTGCTCCTAAAACGGGCTAAAATAACTTTTTCTTTTGCACAGAAATATTTTTCCTAATACTTGTAAATAAATTGCTATTATACCACCCATAGTTCTTTGCTAAAGAAACACATTACCAAAAAGGAAAGGTGCTGGTGGTTACCTACCTGGTCTAGGAATATTCTTGCTAATGGTGCACAGTCGGTTGATCTGATGAACCGCACCACATCTGCCACACTCCACTTCAGGGGGTTACTGTCGAGGTGAAGCCTTTCAGCAACTTCAATCCTTATTTCCTTCATTCCCACAACAAAATCAAATGAAGTGGTGTAAGAGCTATTATATTCTAAAAAAGTCTCTACTTAAATTCATTATCCCGCAAGGCAGGAATTAAAGTGGTTTTACAACATGATTTTTCCCCCAGCAAAGTCAGCAAAGGCCCATATATACTAGGTACTCAGGAAATGTCGGTCTTTTATAACAAGAAATGTCAATGGGGAAAAATTTTATCTCAAAGTTTCAGCAGAAATCATTTGGACAGTTTAACAGAGAAAAACAGTCTTTAAGTCTCCCATTTGCTCCTCGGTCTATTTCAACTCTCTCTCTGGTAGGTGCTAAAGTGAATGGGATGATATTTACAATGAGAGAAGGATCAGCTAAATTATCAGGAGAAAGAGTTTATGGCTTCTGTTCACAGAACATACTGAAAAAGCAACCCAGTTTTAAAACACTAACTTAACTGCAATTCTTTAATTATATAGTATATATGTTATCTAATATGTATATGTTAAATATATTAAACAAGATGGCTTAACTGAAATCAAAAGGATAATTTATTTCTATAAAACTGTTATATTTCTATAAAAGCCATACATATTATGAAAAACATTAAAAAGGAAGTTTTCCCTAAACTAAATGACAGGCTACAAATAAGCTAGCAATAAAACATCTTTTTACTTAAGAGAAGCAGCCACTGAGTCATTCCTCCTGACAAATAATCTCCAAATAATCCTTGAAACACAAGTAACTCACTGAATTTAGAATCATTTAGAAGTTCAACTGAAGCCTGTATTGAAATGAGTAGAATGCCAACACTGTTGACAATTATATTCTAGAAAGAAATTCGAGGGAGAAAGAGAAAGAAGACAGTGTACTTTAAAAACGGGCACCTTTGGCGAAGGCGGCTTATTCTCATCATCAGAAAATGAAAACGTGCGAAGCTCTCTTTTTCTCCTTTGTCTGTCTGGAGGCAGTGATGTGGATATCTCACTTTGGGTGGGAGAAGAGGAACATGACTTTTTCTCTGACATTTCTGATTCTTCCTGTAGCTCGTCCTGCTGCTCGGAAGTACTGCCCTCGCTTAGAGAGTCGTCATCTCCTTCATCTGGGTCATCCTCATCCTCACCCCCACTTCCCTAGAGGAAAAGGGGAGAAGGCTCATTGAAATTCAGGACAAACTAGCTCTGGGGCCACACCACCATCTTCTACTGGCCAGAGATCTGAATTAGAAAGACCTGCAGGTATTCTTTCTGTGTCTCTGTTGTAAAGCAGTGACCTCTTGGCTTTTAGATGTTACAGGTATATCAGATCTCATACCTGAGGAGAGCCGGCCGGGGTGTTATCAACAGATGCAGAGGAGCGTTTCTTCTTATGAACAAAAACATTTTTCCGCCTCTTTCTCCGCTTACTGGCCTTTTTCAGGGCACACGCTAAGTTACTGTGCCCACCAGGCGGCCTCCCAATTCTTTTAGTTTTCTTCTTTCCATAATAATGTGCTAAATGTGAATGACGAAGAAAAATGAAGTAGTTCATTATGTTTGTGCACCTCAAATCACAAGAGATTCTATTAGCACAGCATGAAACAGGTACACTGTATTTGGCTCAAGTTTAAATTTCATAGAGTGTAATAATCTTAACTGTACAGCTCTTAAATGTACAGTTTGATTAGTACTAACAAATCCCTAAACCTGAATCATCCTTCCCCCATCAAAACACAGAACATCAACCTAGAAAGTTCCCAGGGTCCCTTTCTAGTCAGTCCCCCTCACCAGAGGCAACCATTATCCTGATTTTCATCACTGTAGGTTAGCTAGCTTGTCTCATCTCTGGAACCACTCAGTAGGTACTTTTTTGTGCAAGGCTTCTTTCATTCAGCATAGAATGTTTTTAAGGTTCATCTTTGCTGTCATGTGTATGAGTAGTTGATGCTTCCTACTGGTGAATAGCAATCCATTGTATGAATATACCAGTTTATTCTCCTGTTGGTGAGTACTTGGGCTATCTCCAGGTTTTGGTTATTACTAAGTTGTAATGACCATTCTGTACACGCTTTTAGTGGGCATGTTTTTATTTTCCTTGGATAAATACCTAGGAATGGAATTGCTGGATCATATGACAGATGTATGATTAACTTCTGAAGAAACTGCCAAACAGTTTTCTAAAAGGATTGTATAATTTTATACTCTCATCAGCAACGTATGAGAGATATAGATGCTCTACACCTTTGTCAGCATATGGGATTGTCAGTCTTTCTCATTTTAGCCAATCTGGTGGATATGCAGTAATTTCTCATTATAGTTTAAATTTGCATTTCCCTGATGACTAATGATACGGAATATGTTTTCATGTATTATTGGCCATCTGCATATGCTCTTCTGTGATATGTCCATCCAGGTCTTTTATTCATTTTTTGTTTCTTTCATTTTTATTGAAATATAATTCACATAGCATAAAATTCATTATTTTAAAGTGCACATACTCAGTGGTTTGGGCACATTCCCTATGCTATGCAACCATCACCATTATCTAATTCCAGAACATTTTGTTTCTCTTTTTTAAAAAAAGTGAGGTAACAGTCACATAACACACAATTAACCATTTAAAAACAAACAGGGGCAAAAGTAGGTTTACAGTTGTTCGTATGGGAAATAGTACAATGACTAATAAATAAGAATAAACTGCTTTGCATACTCACAATCGTAAACCTACTTTTGCCCCACCACGTACAACTCAGTGGTATTCTGTGTATTCTCAATATTGTACAGCTACCACCTTTCTCTGATCGCAAAACTCCTCTTCATATTGAATCGTGGCAGTTTTTAATATATTCTGAAGAGCTCTCTGTTAGAGATATATATATATATATAAAGAATATTTTCTCTAAGACTGCAGCTTGTCTTTTCCTTTTTACAAATGGTATCATGAACAAAAGTGTTTAATTTTGATGATGTCTAACTTACTAATTTTCCCCTTTATGTCAGTGTATTATGCTCTTCTCTAAGAAATCCTTGCCTACCCCAAGATCTGAGGATATCCTCCCTGTTTTCTTCCAGAAGCTTTACAGTTTTAGCTTTTATACTAAGTCTATGACATAACAAGTTACTTTTCATATTTAGTGAGGTAGGAGCCAAGGAGTTTTGCTTCTGTTTTTGCAATTTGGATATCTAATTGTACCAGTTCCATTTGCTGACTTTTCTTTCCCCATTAAATTTGTCATCTTTGTTGAAAATCATTTAACCGTATATGTCTGGCTCCATTTCTGGACCCTCTATTTGCTCCCATCATTCTACCTGACCATTTTTTCATCAACACCCCACTCTTCATTACTATAGTTTTATGGTAAAACTTGAAGTCACACAAAGTCCTCCAACTTTATTCTTCTTTTTTCAGGATTGTTTTGGCTATTCTAGATCCTTTGCATTCTCATATAAATCTTAGAATATAGATAATTCTAAAATTGAAACATATATTTTAGCTCTGTTATATATTAAAGTAATATCAATATGTAATGTAATTTTTGCAACAAAAAAAGAATTCTAAAGGATATAAATCCATTTAACATCACTAAACTGACTGGGGAAAATTATAAAGGCTCCTAACATCTAGGCTAATTTCAACTGTATCACTGTGAAAATAAATTCAGACAAAAAGCATTATAAAATTCATATATCTTCCAAAGGCTCAAAGTGGTATAGTTACATACTCACTTACATGAATAGCATATTTCACTTACCTACTAATAACTGCATTTTTTGGGCAATTTGTTAAACTAAGTGCTGAATCTGACAAAATAAGCTAAGACAATCTCTGCCCTTAAGAAATTTACAACCCAATAAATACAAATAGAAATTAGAAGGTTACTCATATATGGTTTGTCATTCAAATACCGATTAGAAAATTCATCATGCTAAATGTGGACCTTAGAGCAGCAGCAGCACCTGGGAGTTTATTAGAAATGCAGATGTTGGGTCCTAGATACCCACAAACCTGATGAATCAGAACCTCCATTTAACAAGATCCTCAGGTAATTTGCATGCATGATAAAGTTTAAGAGGCACAGAATTAGAGATCTCTAAAGGCAATCTTCAAATTTAACAAGGTAAAATCCTGCTCTGTATTACTTCTCCCAGGTGGTATCAAGGGCTTGTATGATTTAAGGAAAGGCAGGAACTGAATTTTGTGGTTGGATAACAGTGCCTTGAAAAAGTTCCAAACTGGAAATTTCATCCTGCATCACTTGCTTTTTTGTTGCAGTTTCACAAGAGAGATGATAAACAATGAAAAGAAACAGGGGTCATTACAACAATTCAGAGTGAGGTACGCAACTACCTCCCTCCTACTATTTACGTCTCTCGAACACTGTGGCTTCTTTGCTGCTCCTCACAGACACTAAGCATGCTCGGGCCTCGGCCTGAACTCTTGCTGCCCCTACCCAGAACATTCTCACCCCAAGTCTGTGCAGCTGGCTCCCTGGCTTCCTTCAGGTTGTTTCCTTTCCTGTCAGGAAGGCTCCTTCCTCAGCCTCCTATTTCGCTCATCTTGCTTCATTCTTATCCACAGTAGTTACCTCCCTATATTTGTTCATTTGTTTTTTATCCGTCTTCCACATTAAAATGTAAACTCTGCCCTGGCTGGTTTGGCTCAGTGGTTAGAGCATCGGCTTGTGGAATGAAGGGTCCCAGGTCCGATTCCAGCCAAGGGCACGTACCTTGGTTGCGGGCTCGATCCCTGGCCCCGGTCGGGGCACATGCGGGAGGCAACCAATCGATGTGTCTCTCTCACATCAATGTCTCTCTCCCTCCTCCTTCCACGCTCTCTGAAAAGCAATGGAAAAAATATCCTCGGGTGAGGATTAAAAAAAATAAACTCAATGAGGACAGAAAACGTTTCTCTTTACTTTTGTATCCCAGTGCTAGAACAGGCAGCACAAAGCAGTCCTAATGAAGACCTGCAGATTGTATGAATGATTTACATATCCTACTACATGCAGTAACTAATTCATATACATGCTATATATAAAAGTTGGCAAAATCTGGCCTGTTTGGCATAGCTCTCAAGCTAAAAATGGTAAGTGTGTGTTTTTTAAATGTGAAAATAAAACAAACCCCCAAAAATGCAACAGAGATCATATGACCCACAGCCTAATATATTTATTATCTGGCCCTTCACAGAATAAGTTTGTATACCTCTGCTATGTATGATTATCTGCAAAATAAAAACTTTCCAGGATATAAGGTATGGTCAGCTGCTACAGTTAACAAATCTGAAAAACATGACTCACTATATTTTGTCTTTGTAAGTACAGAGCAGTTCTCAGAACACTTATCCAAAACCATCCGTGGACCGAACAGATTGGGACAGCACTCCAGCTTGATACAGGTTTGCCGGCAGAATTCAGTCACCCGATCTGCAGTTTTCACTATCTCAACAGTAGCCCGATAACTCTTTCCTTTGTATCTGCCATTGGAAGACATCAGACACCAAGTTTACTGGGCTAGTGATTATCCAGAGAAAGGTCAAGTATATTAATATTTGCTTGTTAGAATATTTTTGCTTATTAGAATATTCTATGTTTTCTATATTTTGAGGACTCTGAAAATAATATGGAGTTTATGTATTTTGTACTTAAATCAAATTTATAATCTATTAAGCTATGACAACTAAAAGCTGAGTTACTTAAATTAGCAAAATAAGGCTCCTGCTTTCTGTCCCTAAGTTTAAGGTTTTCAAATAGTAACTTCTACACTAACTACTAAAAGAAAAGTGACTCTCACTAAGTCTTTCTTTACCCTCAGGCAGTGATCCTCAGAGTATGGTCTGTGGCCCAATAAAACCTGACAACTGTCACATGTCCATGACAAGCGCAAGACAGAAAATAAATGTTTGTGAACTCTCACAGTAATTTGAAAAAATAATTCTATGCCTCTTAAATCTAATTCTGTGACCTGCTAAGGATGAATATTCATAAAGGGTGGAGGAGCCTACTCACTTGGCTTTGAGGACTTCCCCACATCCATGCCACACAGAGTCTTTGTCTAGCTGCAGCTCCCGAAGCACACGGCTGGGCTTATAAGCTGCATTGATAAGTAAAGTGAGGACCTGTGCTCCATTTTTAAAACAGAAATATGGGTTGGGAAAGAGAAAAGCAGACCATTAGAACCTTGCCATCCCTCATCATGTCATTTGTGAGATTAATTCTAGTCATATTAGTTAACAAATGTTAACAAAATAATTATACTGAAGATATGACAGTTGATCAAAGTTGTGAATAAGAAAGTAACCAGACCCTCTTAAATATTCAAAACATTATGGATGGAAAGAAATAGAACCATGAATTTAAAATTACTCTAGCATATGCTTCCCAATCCATTCCCAGTAATGGTCAACTCAGAAAACTGTATTAGTTCAGGACACTTTGTAGACGGCTGAGCCTTCATGTGGGGGGAGCAGCCTGGCCCAGAAGTTCCAGCTTCCCCAGACCCTGCACCTTGCCACCCTAGGTGAACAGTTCAGAACTCCTAACATGTGTTACCTGCACTGCAGCACCCTGGCTGGGAAGCTCTGCAAGTCCAGCAGGTGCGTAGCTTTATCATGGTCCTGATTAATGCCAGTCTCTCAGTCACAGACTGACTATTCTCACATTGACTCTTGTACAGTTCCCATGTCATCTCTGACCGAAGACCTTTCTACACTGACAGAGGTGAGCCTGCTACGTGAAGAACTGCTTACGTGAATGTTCCCTGGGAGCAAAAATAATTTCATGCCAAGTTCACCGTCCAACACGGAAAAGTTAATCACTTATGATAAAACCTAGAGTTGTCACATTTGTGACATGCAGATAGATCCTTGTATGAATAAGTTTAAGGAACTGCTGTAAAATTTCCAAGTTCTTTTACTCTAGGCCAGAACCTTACCTCTCTGAGGACCAGAACACAGTTCCCAGGTCCTACACATTGAGGCAGCTCAGCTATTCTTCCTTTGTTAAGATATGGCCCTGAGAAGCAACGGTGGTTGAAGTATATCTTTGGACAGCAGTATTTTCCATTAATCATAACTGGGAAATGAAAAGAAACAAATATTTAGAATAGTCATTTTACAACCCCTATTTCCAAAGTTGGGTTACTGCGGGAAAAACAAGCACCTCCACCATTATATAAAGTTAGAAATTACATATTTTGAAACTTAACATGTTATATGAGTGTGACCTTGAAATACTTACAACAACTCTATTACAGAGCTTATCACTGCTGAAATCAGACAACATTCTGAATTACGTGCAGATTAACTCCTGGGTTAATGTGACATTGTTCCAGACCCTTATGCTTCTATCAATAAAGGAAGTGGAAGATTTACTTGCAGAACCCATGATGAGTCCTGACAAGCAACTATTCAATAATCAACTCTGGAATATTTCTAGGGAGTGATGGTGAATACTATCCAGAACCACAGTTTGTCCCCTTAAAACCACTAAACTACTATGATGTGGGTGTCCTCCCATTTCTGGGATTTCTCAGAGGGCTGAAAGTACACTGTGAACACATCTCTAATTCTTCAAGTACTGTGGGGTATAACTGGACCTAGCGACTCCCTCATTCAACTATCTTTATGTATGAATACTGTACTTCAATATAGTATTTTAAAAATCCCCTCATAGTTGTTGGCAATTCAGCTACTGAATGTAAAAAATTCAAAGATACTAGAACATCATTTTCATATCAAGCAGAGAGAAGCTCTTCTGATGGATACTGTTAGCCAACATTGAGGAAAGAAGATATGTGTACACTGCCCACTGTTGGCAGGACCCTGAAGTACATAATGGTCACCCTAAAAATGCAGTCTTAGCACAGGGGTCACATGTTGGCACCTACTTCTCCATTTGAACTCCACCACCCAGATACCCCTTTTCAGGATAAAGCACTTATGCTTCCTGCTGCTGGGAATGTTGGCAGTTTATAGCTCTCAATTGTAAGGCTATCCTGAAATTACCCTCACTCAGCCTAGGACTGCCCTCTCTAGGAGAGACCCACCCTCCCCAAGACCCACCCTTTGTGAGGTGGAGAGGGAGCAGCAGTCTATTTCCAGCAACTGCCTCAATTAGGGACGACTCTGAGTGGTCATATCAGTGCCAAGGCTCCCTGTGGGACTGGAAAAAACTTCTGAATTGCAGCTCAACTTTTCCCTCTGCCTGGTCCTGCTTCTTTTACTCCTCCAAGGAGCCGTTCCCAAAAGCAATCCCCAATAAAACTCCCGTACGTAAATATCAGTCTCAGACTTGTTTTACAAGGTAACCTGACCTCTCACAAAACCCAAACGTGACTGTGGTCATGTGGGAGATATTAATGCCTTAGTTTTGTAGTTTCCGTAGCCATTAGAATGGCCAGTAATACATCAAAAATAAGGAGTTACGCAGCCCTGATCCTCTATGTATAAATGATATAATGAAAAGGCAATGGGTAGAAGAGACAAAAAATGCAGGTCTTGAACTTGAGAAAGATTTGAATTCCATTCCTGACCCTTCTACTCATAAACTGTATGATCTCTCTAAGCTTTGGTTTCTTTACTTTTCTAGGCATTTACTAAATACCATCCAGATACCTAACCTGTGCTAGAAGACACACAGCCAAGATATTAAGTGTAATACAACCAGCAAAGGGGTAGTCAAGAGTAGTTCCAGGGAAAGACTGCTGGACAAAAGATTTGGCCTCCCAGAAAAGGGCCTTGTTTCATTTATCAGGCATTGTCTCTGGGATAGTCTGTTTTTCCAGTGCTTTGTTTTTTAAATTGTGAAATATATATATACAAACTGTGTATATCATAATAAGAGTTTAAAAGAGAATAAACAGTCACCTCTCAACCACCCCACTGAAGAAAGAGCACTGCCCAGAAAGCCTTAGTTTCTTTATCTAAACTCAGGGATAATAATACTGACCTCCGGAGCCCTTGGCACCCAATAAGTGATCAGTAAAGAAAAACTACAATTATTATAAAAGGACAGAGATGTTGGCCTAAAGATCATTATTAATAAGTATATCTTAGACAATTATAACTCTTTAAAATCACAATTAAGAGACCTCTCTATGAAGTATATTGTATTAATCAAGTGTGTTGTTTATTTTTAGATATAGTCCATTAAAATAAACTAAAGGTCCTCTTTTCCCCAAGGCTGCATGCACTTCTACCTGAGTCTGTGGAGTTCAGCTCCTGACTCTTCAGGCCGTCATGGACAGTCCGCGAGGATGGTATCCTGAGTCAAGAAAACACAACAAAATAGTAAGATAATCCTTAAAGTCAGGAAAGTATGAGGGTTAGTTTCCTTCAAATCTAAGAAGAAAGCAAAGTTGGCAGATTGCAAAATCTATAACAGAAGGTGCTTCCTTGATCTTACTTTTTTAAAAATGGCAACTGTTTTTAAAACTGTGTACACAGCCTAAGGAACCAGCAGTCTATAGACATGTGATACTGCATGTTCAAACAAACCTCCTTTCATTCATGTGAGCGACAATTACAGAATTCCTTCAGTGATTCTAAAAACACAAGTAAACTATTCGTTTCTTTTAATCGTCAAAGAACAGAAACATTTTTAATATAGGGTCTATCTTTTCCCATCAGTTTAAAAATTAGAGACATATTATTAAAAAAGAGAATTACTGTATTTGCAGCAATCACTGAAAAAGGCTAATTTATCTTTTTAAAATACTTCCTAACTAAAACTTTGGATCAGTCTTGACAACTAAATCAAGGAAAAACCCAAGGCCAGATTTTGTCACTGCTGTCTCATGTCACTACCTGGAATGGAATTCTGTGGCCTTCCTACTTCTACTGTCATTTTAATTACTCACATAGCCACAAAAAGCAGATATAAATTAGAATCTGCAATAACCAAAATTGTGTCCCTTTAAAATACATGTTGAAATTCTAATCCTCAATATGACTGTATTTGGAAATAGGGCTTTTAGGAGGTAAATAGGGGTCAGGCTTTAATCTAATAGGATTGGTGGCCTTACAAGAAGAGGAAGAAAGATCCCTCTCCATTCTTCCCATGTGAGGACACAGTGAGAAGATAGCAGTTTGCCAGCCAGGAAAAGAGCCCTGACCAGGAACCAAATCAGGCTGGCACCTTGATCTCAGACTCCCCAGACTGCAGAACTGAGAGAAATCAATCTGTTGTTTAAGCGACCCGATCTGTGGCATTTTGTTATGGCAGCCTAAGCAAATTAATACAAAACTGAAAACCCAATGTTTAAAAACACACACATATACACAGGAACCCTTGTATTTTTAAGGCAACACTAATTAGCTGCTTCTCAAAAGCTGTGAAGGAAGATGTGCTACAAAGATTCTCCCGATAGGACACAAAGGGACTCCTTTCATGTGCCTCTTAGTTTAGACTTGTCTTCTAGCTCAAGCATTTTTTCACTGTGACAAATAATATCCTAATTCACAATTTTTGCTCTTCCTTAACAAATCTCAGCATTGAGACTCTATTTTCTCTCATATTCAAATGCCTTCCAGCTCTAAAAGCCAAAGAAAACTCAATTTGGGGAACATCTTGAGAGTGGATTTTACCCTTCTGTATATAATGTCATTTAGGAAATGTATAAACTGTAAAGAGAAGTACATAAACTACCAAAAGCGGAATTAAAGGATTATGCTTCCACCTGAGAAAATAACATGTGAGGAGATACACTCTTATTTTTTTCTTAGATATTCTAACTTTCAAATATCAACTGTTCAAACCTACTATCATATTACTTACTGTTTTTCAGGCTGAACCACTGCAATTTTCCTCTGTTTGTGTACTGTAACAAGAAAACAATAACGTGTATTGTCAAGAAAAATTAAAAGACAGAGAAGCTATATATGTATTAATATAACATTAGCATATTTGAAACCTGGTGATATATATATATATACACATATATATACATATATATATATATGTATTTTATATATCTAGACTAAAGCACATTTTCTAGGTCTTTCAACAAAGATCAAAAATAATATTTTTAAGGCTCCCGGTGTCAATCAACTCTCATGAATATTTTCTAAGCAGGGATAGATATTCAAAAGAAAAACTGATTTTCACAAGGATGCCAACAGATGCAGTAGGGAAAGTAGTCTTTTCAACAAATGGTGCTAGGAAAACTGAGTATCCATAATGAAGTTGGACTTTTACCTTACACCACATACAAAAAGTCACTCAAAATGGATCAAGACCTAAACTTTAGAGGTAAAACTTTAAAACTCTTAGAAGTAAACATAGGGGGAAATATCCATGACACTAGATTTGGCAATGATTTCTTGGTTATGACAACAGAAGCACAGGCAACAAAAGAAAAAACAAATTGCACTATATCAAAATGAAAAAGTTTTATACATCAAAGGACACTATCAAGAAAGGTAAAGGCAACCCACAGAATGGGAGAAAATATTTGCAAAATCATGTATCTGATAAGGGATACCTAGAATACATAACAAAATCCTACAACTCAACAACAACAAACAATTAAAAATGGGCAAATGAATTGAACAAACATTTCTCCAAAGAAGATATACTAATGGCTAACAAGCACACAAAAAGATGCTCCATATAACTAGTCATTAAGGAAATGCAAGTGGAGACCACAGTTAAGATACCACCCCACACCCACCAGGATGGCTATTATAAAAACCAAACAAAAAACCCCAGAAAATAAATGTTGGGGAGAATATGGAAAGAAAGGAACCCTCACACATTGCTGGTGGGGATGTAAATGGTGCAGCTGCTTTGGAAACCAGTCTGGCAGTGTTAAACAGGGTGATACACTCAAATAAAATGAAAACCTGAGTCCACATAAAAATCTGTACACAAATGTTCATCAGTGGCATTATTCATAATAGCTAAGGAATGAAAACAATGCAAATGTCTATCAGCTGGTGCATGGATAAACAAAATTTGGTAGAGCTGTAACAAAGGAATGTTATTCAGAAATATAAACAAACGAAGTACTGATATATACTAAAACATGAATAAACTCTGAAAACAGTATGCCAAGTAAAAGCAGCCAGTCACAAAAGACCACATAGTGTATGATTCTATTTATAGGAACTGTTCAGAGCAGGCAAATCTATAGAGATGGAAATTAGATTAGTAGCAGCCTAAGGCTGCAGGGCAGGACTGCTAAAGAGCGTGGTTTTCTTTTGAGATGATTAAATGTTCTCAGATTGTGTGACAGTGGCATAACTGTGACTATGCTAAAAACCACTGAATTGTATACAGTAAGTCCTCACTTAACACCTTCAATAGGTTCTGCCACTTGAAGCGAAATGACATATTACAAAACCAATTTTACCATAGGCTAATTAACAAAAGTTAAGTTCCTATGGCACCTCATCAACGTTATAACAAATGACGTTGAACAAAACACGTTATTTGAGGACCTCCTGTACTTTAAAAGAACAAAATTTATGTTATGTTATATAAATGATATCTCAATAAAGCTGTTTTAAGGGTGGGGGTGAATTACTTTTAACATCAGGTTACAGAAATAGTCTGGCTTCCATCTTGCTCAACCTCTCTTGTTCTCTCACTTGGCTGATGGAGGCCAACTGCCACACTGTGAGCTCCCCTATAGAGGCCCATGTGGCAAGAAATTGAGGGGAGCCTCCAACCAACAGCCAGCAAGGAACTGAGGCCCTCAGTCCAACAGTCCACTAGGAAATGTATCCTTGTCAACAATCCTCTGGGTAGACATGGGGAAAACCCTCCCCCAGTTGGGCCTTGAGATTTCTAGAACCCTGGCTGACACCTTGATGGCAGCCTTGTGAGAGACGAACCCAGGGGACCCAGCTAAGGTGTGCCCAGATTCCTGACCCACAGAAACTGTAAGATAATAAATGTTTGTTGCAATAAATAATTCCCTATGCAGGAACAGATAACCAGAATATCATTTTGTTTTTCTCTGAAATGTCCAGATTCATCCTAATTGGTAGCAGCCACACAACAGATTATTTAACCACCAACCCTCCGACCTAGAAAAAGACAGGTACCTCGAGCTCGACGAGGAGTGCTGAGGGGATGGCCATTGGTTTCACACCAGCCCAACGGGAATATATCCATGGATTCCACACTCACGATGCATTCAGGTATAGGCTTCTTAGAACCTGTTTAGATTTTAAAAATTTTTGAACCATTAAATACCCTTCTTCATAAACTACTTTCTAGACAATCAATGTTCTACTGCTGCAATAATACAGACACAAAGTCTCTTAAACAAGTTCTTTTTACACAGAAGTCATACTTTTTCATGTGTGGCAAACATTAAGAGAAAAAAAGTTAATTGTTTCTCATGCATAGCTGTATAAAGACCAAAATGGGGGCAGTGAATATACAGGGTGACCCTTCGTTAGGGAACAGCAAATAAGCAACTAAAACTACCAGCAGTATCATTCAGATGGTTGACAAATATCAGTCAACTCCATGAAATAACTGGAAAACAAAGACAAAAGGGACAGTTCTACTCAATGAGAATATCAGTTGTGGCACTTGGGAACAAGCCAGAAGGTAGATCAGTGAATTCAAATTAGGAAGTGATATAGGCAAGTTGCTCAGCAGGGTTAAAAAATAAAGTCTATATTCAATACTCTCCTTGATATCTGTATCAAATGCCAATTCTACAAACTGGAAACAGAAGGTACTAGGTCTATTTGGCAGCCAAGTAAAAACGGAATCTAGGCCACATACAATAACTACAGCGCTGAGTACTCACCCTGTGTTTCTGTCCACAAACATGTCCAACTAATGATTATTACTTTTAGCATAATACAGTGGTACCTCAGTTCTCGGACACCTCCATTAACGAACATTTCGGTTTACAAAAGCTGTAAACCCAGAAGGAAATGCTTCAGTTTCGAACATGCCTCGGAAGTCAAACATGCCACACGGCTTCTGCTGAGGGCAAGATCCTGAGGCCTAGCTGCTGGCTGTTGAACCCTGAGCACCCGCACAACACAGAGGTGATATTTGGGCTTATTTGGTGACTGTGTGCAATCAATCTGTGCTCATCTCAGGAGCACGTTTGCAACCAATTTGTTTTTGTGACTGTATGCAATCAATCTGTGTTCATGTCATCTCAAGAGCCCTCTGCCAATCACCCTTTGCTGTGAGAAATGGATAAAAGCTACAAAGCTAAGAGAATCATTAACAGAACAACAATGGAAGTGAAGAAGGAAATTATTTCCAAACATGAAAGTGGTGTCCGTGTATGTGATTTGGCAACACAGTTTGGTATGGCCAAATCTACAATTTGTACCATCTTAAAAAACGAAGAAGCCATTAAAGGAGCCAATGTTGCAAGAGGTGTTAAAAAACAAGACAAAGAACACAGATGACTGAAGAAGTGGAAAAATTGCTTTTCATATGGATAAATGAAAAACGGTTGGCTGGCAAAAGCATTTCTGAGAGCATGATTTGTGAAAAAGCTTTACATTTGCATGCTGACCTCATCAAAAACACCCTTGGAACAAGTGCTGAGAGTGATATTTTCAAGGCAAGTAGAGGGTGGTTTGAAAAGTTTAAGAGAAGTGGCATACGCAGTATGGTGAGACACGGTGAAGCTGCCAGTGCCAAGAAAGACAACACCGACCAACTTGTTTTGGAATTTAAAGATTATGTAAGAGGCAGAGAGTCTCCTTCCCCAACAAGTTTTCAACTGTGATGAGACAGGCCTCTTCTGGAAGAAAATGCCAAAGAGGACCTACATAACAAAAGAGGAGAAATCACTGCCAGGACACAAACCCATGAAAGACAGGCTGACCCTTTTATTTCGTGGGAATGCGAGTGGGGATTTTAAGTTGAAGCCTTTGCTAGTCTACCATTCTGAGAACCTCAGGGTATTTAAGAAAAACAATGTCATAAAAAGCAAATTGCATGTGATATGGAGGGCAAACAGCAAAGCTTGGGTAACCAGGCAATTTTTTATTGAGTAGTATCATGAAGTGTATGGGCCAAGTGTAAAAAAAAATGCCTCCAAGACAAAAATCTTCCAATGAAGTGCCTGCTTGTTATGGATAATGCTCCAGCTCACCCTCCAGGCTGGGAGAACGAGTTGATGGGAGAGTTCAGTTTTATCGATGTAAAATTTTTGCCCCGCAACACAACTCCACTCATCCAGCCCATGGACCAGCAGGTCATATCTAATTTTAAGAAGCTTTACACCAAAGCACTGTTCCAAAGGTTCTTTGAGGTGACCTCGGACACACAGCTAACCCTCAGAGAGTTCTGGGAGAATCATTTCAATATCCTACATTGCTTACAGCTCACAGACAAAGCATGGAGGGATGTGTCTCACAGAACAACGAAGTCAGCATGGAAGAAACTATGGCCAGAAGCTGTCCCTGAACACGTATCTGAGAGTGTTGAAGAGGATGCTCCTATTGTTGATACCATGTCTCTGGGAAAGTCCACGGGCTTGGAAGTGAGTAGTGATGATGGGGAGGGGTCACTGGAGGACCACAGGACTGAACTTGTCACAGAAGAACTTCCAAACGTTCTGAAGGAGCAGCAACAGGTGGCAACTGAGGAACTAACTGTCTTCGGAGCAGGAGGAGGGAAGAGAAAGTGTTTCTAATGCACTGATCAAAGAAATGTGTGCAAAATGGGTTGAAGTGCAAATATTTGTTGAAAAATATCACCCTGATAAAGCTGCTGTAAGTCACGCCACTAATACTTGCAATGATAATGCTGTGTCTCACTTTAGACAAATTTTAAAACATCGGAAAAAGCAAATGTCAATTGAAAATCTATAGTGAGGAAAAGATCCAGTGAGTCTGAATCAGGTGCCAGTGGTGTAAAAAAACCAAGGGAAGGAATGGCAGGAGAGGAGTCACCTACAGTGATTATGGAAGAGGGCCACAGAACACCTCAACAACAGTCACTATTATGATTACTGAAGGGGACCCCTCCATCCAAACCATGACTATCATCATTGCAGGTAAGAAAAATTACATTTTCATTTTTATCACCTACAGTACTGTTTTTACATTGTGTTTCTTTATTATTGCTTTTACAGTACAGTACATTGTGTTTATTGCTTTCATTGTGTATCATTTTATGGATCTGTGGTATCATTAGACAGTAAAATTCATGTTAAATTGCTGTTTTAGGGGTTGATTTTAAAGGTCTGGGATGATTAATCCATTTTGCATTACTTTCTATGGGAAACTGTGCCTTGGTTTTTAAACGTTTCAGAACTCAAATGGTCTTCCGGAACCGACTACATTAGAAAACCGAGGTACCACTGTATATCTTTTTTATTTTACATATATTTTGGTTCTAATGGATGGGGACAACCAAAATATTCTCTCTTGAATAAGCTAGTCATTAATGCACATGCCCATATATTTTGGGCAGATCAAAATATATGCTATTCGACTTATACTTTCCCCTTTAAGAAAACAGGGGACTCTGTGGCAAAGGCTTTTCATTTACATTCATTTCCTAAACTTTGAAAGCCAAGAACAAGAAAAGAAATTCTTACTTTAGAATCTTGCATTATAAAATACAAGTCTCTGAACAAGACACCCGCCCCTTTAAATAGATTTTATTGATTTCAGAGAGAAAGGAACAGAGAGGGAGAGATAGAAACATCAATGATGAGTCATTGATCGGCCTGGGATCAAGCCTGCAGCCCAGGCATGTGCCCTGGCTGGGAATCAAACCAGAATGTCCCGGATCATAGGTCAATGCTCAACCGCTGAGCCACACCAGCCAGGTTAAACAAGGGGTTTTTAGCTAATCTACTAAGTTTAACAAACCATTGTATAGGGGTGAACAGAGAAGAGCAGCCACAGGAAGGAAGGCTTCTGGGGTGCTGGCACTTACCCTCCAGCTGGAGCCACAGGTAGGAGCCTCGCACTGCAGTGACGGTGGCAACGCACACTTCCTCAGGGAGTAGGGGGTTCACCGCCTCAAGCTTCATGTTCTCCTTAAATTCGTGCTCAGAAATTGACTAGAAAATAAATGAATCCAATCCAAAACATCCTAGGTGTTAATTCGTGCTATTCTGAGAAAACTTTCCAAGTAATATTTAATCCTAGAGTAATACTTTAAGGCTATAAATTAACTTTGCTTTGTTTGTTTCTTAATGAAGCAAAGGAAAAATGTCTTTCCTCTTGGTGTTACAGGCAGTCTCTGAGGTGAGATACACCTGCACTACTGCTACCTTTGTGACCTTGCTCAAGCTAGTAGCCTCTTTTTGCCTCATATGTCAGATGACATTGAGAACACATACCTCACCAGGTCAGTATGAGGTTTCCATAAAATAAAGTACCTAAGGTTCTGTGCCCTGAACCAAATGGCTCCTCACCACTGTTGGTTCACTGACCTTCCCATAAAGGGCCCATCATACAATAAACTGTTTGGTTCCTACTGCTATGTGTATCCTAAAAGGCAGTCAAGGATGAATAATGCGTATGAATTAGGGGAAAGCGTTATTTTAAATATGTGTTTTTCAAATTTGCAGCTTCTGGGTCAGGATAAAGAAATGAACTTCTGTATCTGATTGTTCTCTCTTCCTTCTGACAATTCACTAAAACTAAAGCAGTGTTTTTAAAGAAATAAACCTGCTGGGATAGATGAACCGAAACGGAGACAACAACAACATTCTATAAGCTAAAATTTAGAACAGGGTCTAGAACTAACTTAACAGATTAAAGAAAGGTAAATCTAAGTGGACAGCAAAGAAAGCTACAAACTGGCAGCACCAGGTAGGGGGCAACTAGAGGTGGAAAAGAAATAGGTAAAATAAAAAGACTTGTTGAAATTTAGGTCATGCCATCAGCTCCTCCACTCCACAGCTCAGTGCAACTGTCCTTTCCCCTTCCCTACCAAAGATGAAATTTAATCCTCAAGGGAGGGTAATACACAAGACCCCTGAGCAAGAGGACATAGGGACTGTTGAGGACAAACATGCAGTGCCCAAAACAGGGGTTTGCATATGGAATGTGAAAGACCCAGCCCTTGCCTCTACTTTCCTGGCAAGGGACTAGGAGAGATTTCTTGTGGTAACATGATAAGCCCAAGAAGAAACACATAAAAATATGGATTAGGGGTCCCCAACAAATGACCAGCCAGATCCCACCCTATAGGGAAGTTCAAGGTTGACAAGCCCCACCACCATCCTCAGAGCTTCCAATCAGTTTTTTCTTTTAGTCCATCATTCTTAAATATAAGCAAACAACCAAGAATTAACAGACATCTAAAGATATGAAA